GTATTCTAACTGCACTATGAGCGCATTCTTAGATTCTTACGAAATTCCAACAGCATTCGAAACATTTTGATCACATTCGAGGGAGAACCGAAATGGCAAGGCGCTTCAAATCTTGTCAGAATGTTCCACATTGTGCCTCCAATGAGCAGGAATGCAACTCGAATGCATCTTGATTGCAGGCCGGAATTCAGCCAGCAATGAAACCACACTTGTATGGCATTTGAAGTGCATTCTAAATATTCTCACTATATTTAGACAGCATTAGCGATATTCCTAATGTGTTCCAACTACATTCGAGCTGCATTTGAGAGCTAATACAATACAACCAAAATGTGCACGAATCATTCCAGGTGGGTTCGAAGCGCATTTTGAGGTATTCTTACTGGAATTAAGGTCAATTTGATATTACCCAACGAATGTGGTGCGAATTTTGAAAATTCTTCATTATGGCTCATTCTGCTTGATTACTTCAGATTCCAAATAAGTGTGACAGGGGGCTGTACAGTGCCTTCTGGTCTCAGTGTATTTCTTGTTTACGCTTTCATGGTGGTGGTGAGATACCCTTAAACTACGCAACTGAAACTAAGTACTATTCCAAGGTCAAGAGCTTAGAGGTTGTAAGAGGTTGATGTCACCTGACAAAGTTTTACCTGTTCTGAAGAAAAGAAATTATACAGCATAAAATTTGTTGGTACACATCCATGAAGGTATTTTCAGCATTGTTTTTATACCAAACTGTAATCCATGCATTCAGTATGTACAAAATGGCCATTATTTATATTTATCTCAGGCTCGAAGTGTGTATTTTATGTATATGTTTGTTTTAAATAACTTATTTTTACAGATGTCACCCTAACAATATTGCCAATGTCTTGAATATGCTCATATTTGAACTCAGCAACCCTCAAAACATATAGAAAGAAATATTACACATCATTTTTATGTACTTTACTGTGAAAATATGGCCAAAAAGCCATTTCCCGCCTTTTTTCACAAACAAATAGCAGATACCAATATAAATCTTTAGCTTTGGTAAAAAATATTGTCAGATTTGTGTTCAGCAGCAAAAATGGCCATAGAATCCACCTGTTTTAAAAAAATTTTGTCATTTGCCCACCCCTAGTTCAGAAGCCCCACGTAGTTTTCATGGTAAAAGGTCCAACCTTTTCAGAAAAAGAACCCCCTCCCCACTGACCATGAGCCTAACAGATAAAGAAAGATCTGTGTTGATAATATAAAAGCAAACTATATCTGAAAGTTATCTGAAAGACTAACATGAGGCATGGATTCAGCTAACTATTATAATGACATTTTTCTTTTTAGCATTGCCATTTATTACAACACTGCAATCACATCAGGGCATAAGAAGATGATGAAGCTACTAGAAGAACAGTTAGCACTGGTAGGTTTACAACTATGAGCATTATGTACTTCTAAAACGTATCTCTGTTCAGTATTGATGTTAATTTGCCACTTTGCTGGATAGTTTAAGAGTGGCAGCATTTAGTTTTCTCGTTTAGAAAAATAAATTGTATTGAACACTTTTACAAATCTCAAATGTGTAAACATATTTTCTAAAAAGGAAATTTATATTTAATTTGTGGTGTTTATTTATCTTGAATTGACGTATTCTGTACCGTTGCTATGTTTTCCAGTAGTTTGCTATGGTTGATTTTAATTAAGTATGACGTCAGCTAGTACTTGTGCTCAATTGAAAAAGATCACTGTCATAGAAAGTTATGAAAAATAGTTACTAACTTGTTACATTTCAAACTTGACAAGCTCACAAAAAATTCCTAAAACAAACTTTTATGCTCAATGTGAAATCTAGATTTAAATATTAGATGTGAACAGACAGATTTTATTTTAGAACATTTCACACCTTTAGATATATTTATATAACTAAAACTTGCTGTGCACATGTATGCTAATGAAGCCCTATTGTTTGAATATTCATTAACTTTAACACATCGTTGTATTGTTCTTTAAGGAAGGGAAGGATAAACAGTTCCTGCTTAATCGTGTTAATGAAGCCATACAGAGAGGGGAATTAAGGGCCTCTGATACTGACGTCATGGCGAGTGACAGTAATTGAAATGAAGCTTTCTGTTTGGTTACCTGTGCAACACACCCTGGGAACATCTGTTATACAGATTGAAGCAACAGCATAATGTCACTTTCATATTTACAGTAATTATTATAGGGAGAAAATTGTTAATTTTTACAGATACTGTATTTTTTAAGTCATAATTCCTTAAAGGGAGAACAACTCTTTGAAATCTATATTTCACAATATTTCTATATTTCACAATAAATACATTGTAAACAACTCATGGAAATATAATTCTATTTTACCACAAAAAAACACAGTAATAGCAATAAATCTGAAATCTGTGCTTGCCATCCAATCACAGACCTCCATAGATGGCTATACTCTGTAATGATCTCTTAAGAGATTATTACAAAAAAACAAACTTTTGAGAAAAAAACAGGGACTAACTTTGAATATAGAAATGGATTCATTAACCATTGGTAAGCATGGGGAAATTGTTGTTTACCCCAGGAAAATTCATTTTTGGGCCAAAATGAACAGTTGTTATCACTTTAGAATGAGAGCATTCCCACTGAGTGGAAGCAACAAAACTGAAAAGCAGGCTATTTTATAGTTCTATTCTATGCATTAAAAGCACCACAAATGCTATACAGAAATTTAATTTTTATGGTTCTAAAATTATGAATCTGAAAGAATGGTAAGTTTTGCCCATTGAAAAGATAGAGTCATTGCTGTATGTATTGTTTTTTATTAAGGACTCAAAACTTCCTTTTCAGAAAGAAATGTTCAAACTTGTGCTACATCACTTATTATTGAAATATTCTATAGAATATTACAATTGTGTATATAATCAGCAAAAGGGGTATAATAATTTAAATGTTTCAAGGTTCTAATTATATGAAATTTTGTTAAAGATTTTTTACATATTGTTGAATCCAAAAATTAAAGTAACATGTTTTGAAATGCTTATGATAAAGCAGAACGTATACTTGCCTAATGTTCAACTTTACCAGTATTGCTCATTTGTACCATATTTATTGCTATAAATCCATACTGTAACAGTTTTGTTTAAGACAATGTATTATGAGAAAAACTAGCAAACTTATGTATTTAATAATGATATCTCATTTATTCCTTATGTTACAGCTTTGATAAAATAATTGGCACTTCATTTCGATTCTATTAACATCTATTTTGAAGATTCTAGGTATCATTCTGTTTTGTAGGATATACTTAATAGAGATTTCTGGTCTTTGTATTACTTTTCTTAATTTAATTTGTAAAAAACTTGATTTGATACTATGCTGGTACACATTGTGCCAACAAGTAAATAAATGCATAAATTACAAAGTAAATGAATATGATTTATTATTTTATTTTAATAATAGATTAAAATCTACATTTCATTGTATGTGTACATATCTAGTTAGCTTTCATAAATTTAAATCTCTTTATCTCTATCAGCTATATTGTTCTCCATTTAAAAGTTGAATCTTTTTGTATTTACTAGTATTATTTAATTTTGTGTGGTGATGTTCAATATATAAAACAAAAATGTGGCTGGCCATGTGAAAATTTGAATTTGAGACAATTTCTTTGTACATATTTAATTCTTATGGAGATAAAAGAAATATTACAGCTAAGGTGGCGAAACATATTGATCTCTGTCTATCTTAAAGTTTCCCTGTTATCATTAATTATATCACAAATGTATCAATGTACATGATTGCGCGATGTTATCTTGATGCCTAGTTACTTGTTTCTAGAAAAACCATTGTAATTTCTTGGTAAATGGCATTGTTACTATTTGCAATATTTGGAATATTTGCAAATTGTGCCTTATTCATTGTTGTTAAATTTTGCAAGAAACACTTCAAAATGTGTCACGTTTACCAATACGGTATTATTTCTTAATCACACAGCCTTCCCAAAATGATATATATGTATAAGTCATAAGCATAAAAATAAATAATGATTGTTTAATTTTAGTTGATTATTGTCTCTGAAATTTCTGACACTCCTGTACAGTAAGGACATGTTTTCACATATTTGAACTGTTTTCTGAGGAGTTTAAATTTACCAATTTCACTGACTAGTTGGCTGGTAGAAGAATGCAGAGGCATTCTTTATCAAGAATAACAGCCCCCTAAAGAGGCAAACCAGTCCATATAGACTACCCTAGTCCAAATCCATTCTGAGATTCTGAACATAGTGAGGGATTGAATCTTACAAACTGCACTAATTTGGGGTAATTGCCATTTTTGACACTAAATTACACAATACATGATAAAAGATTTACCATCAATTTTATATAAGCAATTTACAAAATTGTTAAGTTGAAGAAAATGTCAAAGAGCACCTTTACAAATAAAATAAGTTCAATACTGAGACTGTTGACATGCCTCAGAATTGAATCTGAGGAAAACCCATTTATATACAAAAAAAAAAAAAACAACATAAGTACAACAAAAATAAACTAAGCAAGTTTCAAAGCAAAATGGACATTGTTTTGCATTATAGCGGTGGATAAAATTTGATTAAAAAAAAGAAAAAGCATTTGGAAAAAGGGCCAATTAGGTTGATTTTTGAACTTGACCTGTATTTCATAAAAATTATCAGTTCCATCAGTTTGAAGACAAAAGGTAAAACGGATTTCATTTTATTTGTATAGAATATGCTGAAAAATAAAAACAGCATAACGTTTGGAAAATTGGGTCGATCAGGCTAATTTTCGATCTTGACCTGTATTTTATGAATATTCTGTGTCTGTACATAAAAACAGGAGTAATAGTACTAGGAGGAGTGCTAGGTAATCGAAAGGGGCAATCTTGTTTGTGCCTCGTTTTCCTCTACTATACTATACTATTTTCCTCTACTTACTTAGTCTTCAATGTAAAAAGATGGCTAGATCTAAAAGAATTGACTTTATGCAAAGCTTAGAAGAGATAAAACCTGTTTTATTTACAGGAAATGTGGCTATCATTGTTGCTGCACGTGCTTAGTGTAAAAATAGAAAATTAATTAGGGGGCGTGTCTGTTGTTCAACATTAGATCGACGATTGGACGATTTTGATGACGAAAGCGTTGACTGCCATCAAGAATAACACAGGGAACCACAAAAGCACACCGTTGACAGTCTCTGCATGGTTCTTTTTACGTCCACAACGTAACAGCCCAGTTATGGAGAAACTGAAAAAGGAAGAAACGATTGAGTTGCGAAGGCGGCACATAGGGTAAGAAACTATTAAAAAGAAGATATTAGAAGAGCAATTTTTTACTTACGGTTGTTAATGTTACGAAGCAAATGGCTTCCATTTGTCATCAATCGATCCGCGTTGTGAAACCGATCACATGCTCACACACATGCGTGACGCAAATCGGCAGCTTTTCATCAGCCATCCCTGAGACTGGTCTGCTGATAAAGACAGAAACCTAATAATAGATTGACATAGTAAACTTGATCTGAAATTATTATGCTTTATGAAAGCAGTATGCCATCGAGCCATAAACCCTTTCCAGTTGATTCCAGATCGGCCTACATTTTGTAGAATGATCAGCTGTAGTCCTGACTAAAGACGAACCATTTCAAACAGTGCGTTAAGCCCTAAGTATTAATTTGATAGTGTTTATCTTAGCTCTTTTGAAAAACCACCGTAATTGAGAAGCATTTGCCACTCTTACTGATTAAGTTATGGGGCAAACGACAAAGCACAAAAAAGGCTTCCTTGTCCCCAAAGGTCCTCAACCAATTTGGTTGAATTGTCATTTTAATAGTACAGTATACATAACAATTTATAAAGATAGATCAGTTCTTGTTCAAGCATATTAATATCTTCTCTGAAATTATGAAAACCTTCACAAAGTATAAACCATAGTCATATTATTGTTCTAAACCTGCAAATAAGGCAATCAGTTGAGTTCAGGTCACATATTTGTCCTTGCAGAGAATCCTGTAAGCTGTTTTTCAAAACCTCACCATTGAAAATATTGAGAGCAGCAGGCCAGTATATGTATGATGAAAATGGAACCAGATATCTTGACTGCATTAACAATGTTGCTCATGGTAAGCATTTTTTTTAGTCTGCAGGTCCTTTATAGAAGTTGGCTTTTAAATTGATGGGTTTTAAATTGATGAATTGTTGTAAAGATGAAAGTGTTTGCTGGGTCGTTGCACCACCCTAATCATCATTAGCTATGGCTTCACATTTAAAACTTTAACATAAATTTATGGATAGTCACATCTTCATTATGTTGAAATTCTCTGTCTGTATATGTGTGTGTGTGTGTGTGTGTGTGTGTGTGTGTGTGTGTGTGGGGATTGGTTTGTCAGATATAAAGAGGGAGATAGTATTAACACAGCAGTTGTGTTTAATATTCAATGTTGCAATTGCTATACTAGTAATTGTATGGGATCAAGAGAAATAGAAGGGTTGTACATGTACATTATTGCAGTTATATCCCACAGTTACAATGTTTGTAACTCAGAATCATGTCAACCACCAGTCGCATATTTTGCTTGCATATTAGTTTAAATACACCTTTGTGGCATTGAAGATAGACTCTTCTCTGTTTCAGTTGGCCACTGCCACCCAGATGTTGTCAAAGCTGGCACAGAACAGATGGCTGTACTGAACACAAACTCACGCTTCCTACATGACAATATTGTGCATTTGGCAGAGAGGCTCACAAAAACCATGCCAAGTAAACTCTCTGTTTGCTACTTGGTGAATTCTGGGTAAGAATAATATTAGAGCCTTGTGTTGTGTGTTATCTGAGCGACTTGCTTAATCTGCTAAAGGTGAACCTTTTGTATGGTAATTGGTGTATTTCAGACAGAGAAGAATGGCTCTAAAGATTTGCAATTTAGCAAAAATGACTCGGGCTAAAACCAGGTCTGGTAAACTTTTCTTTTGGCAAATAAAGAGGAAAATTAATGTCCAGGCACAGAGACTGTTCAGAGTGACATGCATTTGTTATACCATTGCATCTTTGTTGTTTTGTTTTCCTGATTTTATGCATATTAAATCCTTTGGTTGCAACAACAAAAACAACACGTATTCCAAATTCTGAAGCATTGTGTTGTCTGAACGATAAATATTTGAACCTCCGCTGTTGTATTCTATTTTAGAGTAATATAAGAGCTTGTTATGTGTAAGTGCTTTTAAAAACAGTCATGGGCTGGTGGATACCTCGTGACAATGACTCATATTAACTCTTTTGTCAAAATAACTTTTACGTTTCTGCATATATAGAAAACAATTTTATTCAAAATTATTCTTTGTAAAGAAAGTTTAACAATGCTTTGATCTAAGATCTTCACTATAAATGGTGGCATTGTTAGTATTTTTGACCTTTTATGCCAAAGCCTGGTTGTCCTCACACCCCGGTATATTTAAAATTAGTGTTTTGGTTGCTTTGTGTTATATATATATATATATATATATATATATATATATATATATATATATATATATATAAGTGAAAGAAACTTGCACTGGAGAAAATATGGGCATGTCCTGGTTTTCAGGAGCAAACATATTAAAATATTGAACAAACATTTTTGGTACAATGTTCATACACTAGACAATAAAGGGAAAGGATAGAACCTGTGGACCCTCACATGAAGGTATTTAATTTAGTGGTGGCTGTCTGTTGCAAAACATGCAAAGGGATTTTTATGTGACAGGACATGTCCCTAGCTCAATTGGCTAATTTGTTTGAAGTAAACCTTGATTAATTTGATGGTGAAGTGATGGGATATGAATCCATCTGTTTTGAAAAATAGAACTGCCCTGAACCCTGGTGTTTTACAGTAGGTGCTGTCACATCCTGCTGTTGTCTCCTTTCAGGGATTGAATGCATCACTTTTGCATACTGTTCTGTGTTCTTTTATTTGCATGCACTCTTGCACCAGTCCTCCACCTAATTATATTCATGATACTACTCTGGCTTCAGTGTTAAAATTGATAATCTTTATAACATGTACAGTGTTTATAACTATTTGTCTTAATTTGCAGGTCTGAAGCCAACGACCTTGCATTGAGATTAGCCAAAGCACACACAAAAGGCACTGATGTGATTGTTATGGATCAGTAAGTATCACAAAACCTGTTGCTTTTTGTGTTTTTGTGGACCATAATATTACATAAAAGCACAAACTGTTTGTGGTTTCATTAATGGCGCAAAAGTACTCCATATATTCTGTAAAGGGAGAAATTAAGGTCTAGCAAAGCAGTAGCATTTATTTTTAATCCAGACTAATGGCATAGATCCAAAATTCACAGCCCTTGATGATTATACTTAAAGTGTTCATGTTAACATCATGCAAACACTTAATCAGCCTATCAGAAATCTTAAGATGGCACACACCCCCTAAGAGTCAATGTCATATGGCCTTGCTTTATTACTTATTAATAAATATTGGTTTCTGTTGGTTTAAACTGGTAGGCTTTCTATACATGCAGAACAGTTTTGGTGGTGTTGCTATTGTGGATAATATCATGATATGGCATAGATATATGTGTTGTTTACACATTATGATAAAACTTAGCCTATCAGAAAGCATAAGACGATACACGCCCCTAAAGAGTAGAAGTCCCATGGCCTTGATTTGTTAATTATTAACACATTGTTCTAGATATTCTGCTTGCTATTGAATTCTGACAGTTTAAACTGGCATACTCAACGCACATGCAAAATAGTTTTGTTACTCTTGATACTGTAAATATTTTTATATTTTTGTTTAGATTTCACTTAAATGTGCAGCTACCAAATTAATGTTTGTGTTTCTTAATTTTTCATTATATGCAGAAAAGTTTGAAACACTTTAATGCTTTCTCCTATATCGACACTTTTTATCAGTCAGATGTAATGGAGCAAAATCCATTACCAAGGGTGTTGGTCTTTTTTCTTGGCACCATGTCTTTAATCTTAAAACAAAGGTAATTAATACTAGAACTTGAAGTTGTTTTCAGGTGATTACTTTGTGCCAGTTTATGAATAAAATCATATAAAAAGCATAGATATGGTTAAAAACTTGTGCCCATTATCATAGGATCTAGTTCACTCTTTTATCATTGAATAATCAATTTCAGGGGTTGTTTTTATTAAGATATCTGTTAATTATTTTTTGAGCTGGTTGGTGATGGCTTGTTGTTGTTATCTATGGGTAAATGTAGGAAAAGTAATGTGCATTTAATTTACAGCTTTTTATTATTTTTCATAGAGGAATAGCCAATATTTCATGTATTAGAACATACACTTTATATAATATTATACATGTATTAAAATATATACTCTTTAACTCAGTGCATACCATGGACATTTGGTATCCCTCATTGACATCAGTCCATACAAATTCAACATGCCTGGAGGCGAGGGGAAAATGGACTGGGTACATGTGGTAAGTGCTACTAGTCCCCATCTTTCTACTGAACATAGATGATTTAAGTCTTACACCCTTTCCAAAATGTTTGAAACACTATGGTGGCATTTGGTTGGATTAAGTGGCAAAATTTGACATAAGGACTCCCTTCTATATCTTTACAGAAGTGATTTTATAGGCAAAAATGGATTGATCATGCTTGATGACAATGAATTATTTACATCTTTGAACATGATGACATGCATGGACTATAATAGGTTATAGTCTCAGGAATGTGAAATACAAGTAGTTTTTCAATTTCAACAATTTATTTATTAAGGCAATAAACTAAAAGATTGGTAATAGGAAACTGTGGATTTGCCTGATTCTGGGCCAACTTCTTTATATTTTTAGCACTATTATGTACCTGTTATTATGATCCAAATGTGAGAAACTGGTTCAGAACCAGATAGAAAACAAGTGAGATTTATGATTTCCAATATTGCAGGCTCCATGCCCTGATGTTTACAGGGGAAAATACACAGACAAAACTCACCCTGGAGAGGACATGGGCTTGCTGTATGCTAATGAGGTCAAAGCCTTGATAGATGGAGCTCACAAACAAGGAAGGAAAATATCAGCATTCTTTGCTGAATCTTTACAGAGCTGTGGAGGGCAGATTATCCTGCCACCAAATTACCTCAGAAATGTTTACAAGTACGAAATGTTTATGATAAAGAATACATGTGAAATACCTATACAAATTTGGTTACCTTAATTTGTAAAGGAGTGTTTCACTGCAGTGTTTAATGGGTAACATAATTGCTATCCTGAATAAAATTTTTGAGGAAAACCAAGCAGCAATACAAAACTCCAAGCATTCTGCTTGTGACGTGCAATACATGTATGATGTATTTTTGGAGGATTTGTATTTTTTTGTATTTCCTCCTGCTTTGTATGTATTCAATACTTGTTTCAGCCAATTTTAATAGCAAGAGTAATATGCTCTGTCACTGATTTAGTTCAGATAATATGGTGATGATTAAGCATGGATTAACCTATAATTTTTTTGTCCGATACTTTATAATGGTTTCTGTTTTGTTTTTTAGGTATGTCCATGAAGCTGGGGGTATTTGTGTAGCAGACGAAGTACAAGTGGGTTTTGGAAGAGTAGGAGATCCATATTGGGCATTTCAACTTCAGGGAGATGGTAAAAAGAAATCTCAAATCTAAAATTGGCACGATGTTGAAAATAACAAAAAATTGACAATGTATTAAATGTCATCTTTTTGTCAAATTAAACTTGATTAAAATAGTTGATTGACTGTACATATGTTGTAAGTCTAGAATACTAGTATGTATATACAGTCACTTGAAGCTATGAAAAACTCAAGAAATCATGCCTAGACATATGCTAACTAAACAACAGGCAAATGTGGTAAAAATACTTCTTATTTGTATTTCCTAGATATTGTTCCTGACATAGTAACAATGGGCAAACCCATGGGTAATGGCCATCCTGTTGCTGCTGTCTTAACAACCAAGGAGGTGGCACAGTCCTTCACTGACACTGGAATTGAATACTTTAATACAGTAAGTATATGGACACAGAGTAGCATGAAATAGATTATATTGTTGTCATTGTTTTTAAGGGTGTCACACAGTTTATTGCATGGCATAACCTTTTCATTCAAATGTATGTTAAAGATAATTTTCATGAAATAAAATAATATTTCATTTTCTCCACCCCACCCTCTTTTAAGCAAATTGACCAAACTAAATTTTCAGATTGTTTTGCGTATCTACAACATCATTTGCAGTACTTTGAAAAAGTTTAAGCTTCTGATGTTTGAAATATATATTGCAAACTGCAAAGATAAATTTGAAAAATCTGAAAGAAATTTGCCCTTTTTTTATTAAGTATGGTGGTAACCCAGTGTCCTGTGCCATAGCCTCTGCTGTGATGGATGTGATAGAGAAAGAAGGACTGGTACAGCATGCCAGAGAAGTGGGGAACTACCTTCAAGACAGACTTGGGGAACTGCAGAAGAAACATCAAATTATTGGAGATGTTAGGTGAAAAATTGAAAGTGATTTCAAAGCATTTAATTGAAATAAAATTAACCCACTGGCATGAAAAGAAATTCTGTAGACCCACTCCAGGGAACTGCTATATTTTTATCCTCAAATTACAAACATGATAAAGAAGTTATTTTATTGAAGTAAGCCCTGACCTATTAATGACATGTGAACTTAGGATAACCAGCTGATAACAGTTATTTGTTCATACTGAACATTTTTTGTAAAATGCTTTGTCTGATAAAGGTTTGTTCTTCTTAATTCCAGGGGTGTTGGTTTATTTGTTGGTGTGGACCTGGTAAAGAGCAGGGAGACAAGAGAACCAGCTACTTCAGAGGCACAGCATGTAATATACAGGTAGAAAGCAAGAAACCCCAGTCAGACTTGGCCAGATTATGCTGTAATTGCCCCTGTCTGCACTTTAGTTATTTATTTTTAATGTCTTTATGTCTAAAAATTTAGTCTTCCAGAATTTGTTTTTATTGGTTGCCAGTTGTGACATGCCTTCTAATGTGTCTTTCAGATATAAGAAGCATGTTGAAAATCTAACTTTTACTGGAAAAAATCTCAGTGACATTATGAGATCACACAAACCTCCAATAAATATTCCCCTTGTGGAGTGGTCTTGTTATCTTTTGATGACAATTAGACTATTTCTGCTTAAAATTAGGACAGTTTTAAAATTACCTTAAGATTTTATTTGCTTTTTCAATCTCACCATGCACCAAAACAACAGAACGGTGTCATTTCCTTATGTATTCAGAAATTTATAGTGTTACACCCCATTTCCATAGATTTTTAGATCGATCTATCCCTGTGGGGAGTCTCACTAGATTACTGTCAGCTTGGCCGGCTTAAGCGTCTGTCCCGCCTACTAAAAGCTGTAAGGGGGTAATTAACTATGGTGCCCGCTCGGCTGACTGCAATTTAGCATGATCCCCCAGGGAGTTAGGTCCATCTAAAACTTAATCTTTAGATCGATCTAAATCTCTGGGAAAGCACCCTTAGATCTTGATATCATTTTGATGTATAATTTTATTGTAGCTCCTGTAGCATCCATCAAGCCAGCAATTGATATATCAATTTGACCTCATCAATATCTTTCAGATTAAAAGAGAGTCACATTTTGCTGAGTTCAGATGGTCCATATCGTAATGTGTTAAAGTTCAAGCCTCCTATGGTGTTCAGCAAGGAAGATGTAGACTTTGTGATCAAGTGCCTAGATAGTGTTTTCTCTGAAATGGAGGATGATCCACTTATCCTCAGTCTAACCTGCACTGCTGCCTCTGCCAAAGTTACCAATGGGGAGAGTAGTCTTGGGGCTGCAAAGGGAAATGCCAGTAATGGTGATATTGAGGATGACACTCCAAAGAAGAAGTTGAAGCTATGTTAAATCATTATGCAGCAACCTAATATCTTTGAGAGAGGTTGACATTGGTTGAGCTAGGTATCAGGATATATACCTGCAAAACTTATAATGCATTTTAGGGCATTTATTGTGTATGATGATAAATGAGTATGTGTTGTTATTGTAATCACACTGTCAGGAAGTTCTCTAATCCATTGTTTTAAAGCATTAAGTGGGGGGATGGGATGTTTGTGAAGCACATTATTTATTGATGAGAAATTGTCTTTCAGCACAACAATCACCATGAGCTAAACTTCTAGTTCACCATGGCCATGTTTCATATTTTCACCCTTATTATGCCCTCCTGTATTTTCAGTAATTATATATTGATACTAACAAATTATTACACAAAGATGCATTTATAAATAATTCTGAATGTTGAGCAGGCTACATAAATCCTAAAAAGCTTGAATTAAGCACCCTATTGTATGTGCTTGTATAGCTGTGATCAGAAGTCTGTTCTTTCAGTGCCATTTGCATGCAAGACCTTGACTCTGATTTAAATTGTACTATTCAATATCTTTAATTTTTGGAAATCCAGTTATTTACTAGTATAGCTCCTATGAGGTGCTTATGTAACGATTTAGGTCGGATCATTTATTTTACACAGTGAAGGTACCATCTACCAGGGCCGCAGATTAATTATACATATACTTTTCTTCTCTCACATCAGTGGAGAAATGTGCTGTGAATCAGCCAGAGACATATCTGTGAATATCTAGTGAAAAATCAATCTGCAGAGGGTACATCGTAGGGATCTTCCTGGTCATCTGAGGTCCTGTACTGCCGTAATACTGACTTATACTGCCCGTCATTACTATTTCTCTTTACACATACACAAATAAAAGTCCAAAACCAATTTTTTTACGTGCCAATTTTACACACAAAATGTGAGTGCTGGTGGACAGATATGTTCTTTTATCTCATGAGGTTTATAGCATTTAAGTGCTGATCACAAATTTTTAACTTGAATTTTAAAATGATTTTACACCATAATGAATGTATCTAGAAGGTGGTGCAAGGAATCAAAACACATGCAAATGTCAATGCAAAATGAATGTAAAGGATATAAAAAAATTTAAGGTGATGATATATTGCTTTTTTGATTTAGATTTGTTTTCTCCACTTTGTGATTGTGCTGGTTAAATCTATTACAGCCACATTGGAAAACGTCATCATATTGATGATGAAATAAATCTTAGAATCAGTTTCTTTGTAATTTTTTTACAGACTTAATATTTTGCTAACAATTTGCAAATCTTTATATAATTTTCGGACCTCAAGAGAGAACAATTTTAAATGAGAGTGGTCAAGTTTACTATGACTGGATTATAGAACATGATAAGATATTATGATATGAAAGTGAACACATATCTGTATGAGTAAAGTAAAACTAATGTGTACTGAGCAATAAAATCACCAATATACTTGTGTTTCCAACTCTTATTCTTAAGTCACTCAATATATTAGAAAAACATCAGAAATGTGACAATTAAAGTGGCAAAATAATAAATGTTTAATATTTTATTATTACCTTTTTTGGACATTATTAAAAGTGCTTTTCTCTGATGACACGTATGTATCAATATGTTTTGGCTAAACTTGAAATACAAAGGAGATATATAAAGAATTTTATTTGAACAATGAAAATGTTATCTCCAAAAGGCGTTTCACAAGTATATTGTTTTGAAAAAGATCTTTTCTTTACTTCAGCCTGCCTGGTAACCTTATGAAAAATTATACATTTCAACTCTTTTAAACTGCCAAATTAAAGGAGAAAATTGTTTTCCCTAGCACGTAATGATTTAAAAAATTAGTCCTGTGCAGGGGCGGATCCAGGACTATTTGAACTGGGGATCCACAGATGCAAAGCTGGCCCTCCCCCCACCCCTTTAGTGTGGGGTTTGGACCCCACTGAAGCACCCCAAAAAATTTAGTATTTAGGTGGCAAGTAGTGCCCTTTGGTATGTTTGAAAACTATGATTCATTTAGTCAAAATTCTAATTTCAAGAGGGAAGGGGGGAGGGGAATACCCCCTGACGCCCCCTTAAATCCACCACTGCTGTGCATGATGCATATCTTGCACTCTTAGCACACTACATGAAGCTGTCACTCTTTTTATGACTTAGTGCAAAAAACATTCAGTTTTTATTATGTATAATTTATATTGAAAAAAAAACCCTTTCACTTAAAATCATAAAAATCATGACAAAAAAACATACAAATAATAACTTTTAAAATATTTTGCTGAATTAGGTCACGCAATTATAATTACTTTAATGTTGTCAAAAATGCCAGCCTTTGTACCAAAGAGAAAATCATGTCAAAATTTTAATTAAAAAATATATATTAAAATTGAAACGAAAAAAAGAAAAAAGGACTAACTTATCATAATTGTTTTTGCAACGTTTATACATAATTGCTATTAAACGATCGGGGAAATTTTCGCATCACAGACACTCAGACAGCAAGCCTCCTCGTGACATCATATTAGAGGTATGAATGTCAGGGTGCACTTCACCTGTCATTGCGTTAGGTGCACCTCACACTGCGCCAACCGCTGACCCTTGCCTTGACCTTGAATTACTACGCAAATATTTTGACAATACGGCTTTCTAAATTTATTTATTATGATAAACTCTCAACAATTAATAATTCATATCTGATATCTAATATTACTTTTCCTTTACCGATTTTGCTTTAATTTTGGTCTTTTATACTCTTAATACTTACTCTTTTTTAACGCACCGATAGCGCACCTGCTGAGTTGTACGGTCAAAGTGAAAACACAGGCAGTTATGATGGCCATTGTTGCTTGGGGCCGAAAATGATTCAAATATGTGAGAAGCCGGGTTAAATGGGTGTCGTTCGCTTCATGTAGATCATGGAAGATTCAAGGGGTACATCGGATGAGCTTCGTGCCATATTTAATCTTTGTGATGAACAGAAAGAAGGCTATATCTCCACCCAACATTTTACTAACTTGATCAAGGAACATCTCGGAGGAGGGGAGGAGGCGAGTACAAATAATTTTTGTTTTCGTATATATTATAATTTATCTTAGTGCATGTTGACATCTATGTTATTATTATGGCACTGGTCTTAAAGACAAATAAAATAAGCATTGATGATATCAACCGAGGTATAATATAGAAATCCTTCATTTTTAATACACGCCTTCAATATATGAGTACATGAAGTTGTACGAGGCCCTAATGTCAATAACGACCTACTAAATGGTTTCTCTGCATGAAGTGGTCGCACATGTGACTTGAAATACAAGGTTATCTGTCACAAAGAGGGCGTGCTTTATGAAGGTTTAATCCTTAAAACTCCTGGACTAAAGTCTGAATGATGTGACATGAAGAATGTCTCTTGGGTCATGTCTAAGAGTAATCTAATCAGGTGATTTGTTCATGGTTTGCTCTTGATATTTTTTAAGCAGATTGCAAATGTCTGTTACCCCTCCTCCCTAACCACATGCTCATTGAGAATATTTGAGAATGGATACATGCAAAGTTTTAAAACCTATCTCAGCGAAACTGAGGTAAAACTTATTTGTATTTCTGTAACATGCTGCATGATGCATAATCATCGCCTACTTTATATGTGGAATATCCTTTCACATTATAATATTATGAGTAGAGTCCTGTATTTTTAACAGTGTCAAACATGTATTATGCTGTGTCACACAGTCATGGGATAATGGCTATGAAGCAATAAATTAATAAGGAATCAAAATGAATCACCATTATTATCAACCTTTCACGATAACAAATTGAGAACCAGTATAACATTAATTTTGTTAGATGATTTGTTGTTTTTTTTTCATGTCATAAAATCCCATCCTATTTTAATATTTAAAATGTAAGTGATTCAATGTGCATTATCTCCCACTAAGGCTGATCTTACTTTCTAGATGTCAAACATTAATAATATAATGGTTATTAAGGATAAAAAAGTGCATAACTACTTTACAATGTCTAATTACTTTTTCTGCAGGAACTTGTGAATGCAAATAATTTTATAGGTGGGATAGGTAAAAATATGATTACTAGTAGTTTAATGTTAAGCTGGTCCTGTACTGGTTTCTACTTTGATGTAGGTGTAAAACAGGTTGGAGGCGCAGGATATATAGGGGCGATAAAATAGACATATAAATCACTTCTCCATAAGTTAGCAAAGAATGGCACTGAACCTGGTTAATGGCCTCAGAGATTCCAAACAATTGCCACTTTTCTGAAGCATAAACTGCCAACTTATGAAATCAGATTGAATATTTTTCATCACATAATCAATTGTCACTATTTGTCAGTGATGGTTTCCACAAAGAAAAAAATCTTCATATAACATTTATTTCTCTATCGATTTTGAGATTTCTACAAGTCAGAATAGGATTTTTTCCATAAGTCATATCATTCTTTTGACATGCCACACTATTCAGAGGTCAACTTTAGCTGTACAAAGGAAGTATTAGCCACATTTTACAAACCAAATTAGGTGAAAATTCTCTTCAAATGTGAGGCTTTTTTCAAGGACATTTGACCTTTAATTTAAAAGTATAAAAAAAGTAATAAAAATTAAAAGCTCAATATATAAGAGATGAGCACAGCATATCGTAAATAATGCATACCATGATTAGCAAGGTAATTTTAACTTTGATGACCTGCTAGTATGTGAATGTGAAAAACACTCCATGTTAATCTTTGGGTTAATGTCCATTAAAAGAGATGTATTTAACAGACCATGTCCAGAGGTGGATAGTATGTTTTAGTTGGCAACAACTTAAATAGTCTCTTTTTCATAATCATTACATAACAGCATTTTTACATATTAACAGAAACATAATACTAATTGTAAATATTTAATATTCTTTTTATTTAAAAGGGTGGGAAGGTTGGACAATTAACCCAAACATATGTTCTTCTGTATTAAACCCTCTTTTTCCATTTCTTTTTTCTTTTTTTTTTTTTTTTCATAACTGGATATTTCACATTGTATTTTAAGGGAGTTGTTAATCAAACTGAAATTAACACAACGCTCTAGACCCTAAAAAAGATATAGTAAATAAGAATTGGCAAATCAAGAACTTTCCAAAATAAAAACATTTTCTAAAGAAAGAAATTGTCAAATGCATACAGAAGCCAGTGAAAATTAATATCTGCCATTTAAATCACATGTGATTTGATTATTAATAGGTGAGGTTTCATCCCAGTCAATTTACCTTTAATATAATACAGTGTGAGTCACAGAGCTTACATTAATACATCAGGTGTGACACTAGTCTGCTTAGCCTGACGATTGTTTAAACAGCATAAAGGGTGATGAAAAAAAGCCTGCTTGGGTAAACTAAGTCGGCTTAACAAAGCAGCAATGCATATGCATTAACGTCCTAGCTTTACGGTGTTCTTGTATTGTTCATGCAAAGTCTGTGACCAAAATAAAATTACTACACATCTTTTGAAAAGCGTAAACAGAATTTTAGAGGCGTTGTGGGCAAATAAACATGGTAATATAGTGGGTGATTTCATCTGTGAAAACTGTGTGATTGGTCTACAGTCCAAGAGCTTTTTGCTGCCTAGTAAACTATATCTTTGGAAGTCAGGGGCAGTTTATCTGGGCTTCTTTAACAGATCAGGTCTTCAAAATTACAGGTAAGAACAGGAACTCTTTGGTCACCTTTGGATAAAGGTGTGATGAATACTAATCAGAGTTGGCAAGTGAAATTAATTACTTCCTAGTAGGATGCTTCCTTGTTGATTAAAGCAGTTTTATGTATGTTTGGTTGTTTTATGCCTTATGTTAGGTAGGAATCCATTGTGGATATACTTTGGAGTGTCTTTAATGGAACCTGATTCAGTGATTGTTTGTGAAGGTCTTTTTCATGGTTTGTGAAGGCTCTAAATGATTACAAAAATAACAAAACATACTTTATTTGCTGTAGTGTAAATGATTTATGTATTAACTAAATGTCTGCCATAACTACTGGGAAGTGTTTATATCCTCCTTTTACAAATTAAAAGAATTGCAAAGTAAAAATGTTGTAATACAATGAAAAAGATTTAGCATTATCCTATTAATACATGTTAAGTCCTATGTTATTTTAGTTTATTTTTTGTGGCCTTTCAGTGTTACTGACATCTCACCAGTTTCACAGAAAGCAGTGTACAAAGTAACAGTTTCATTCAATCTTCATAAAATCTGTATTAAAATATATTACAGGTCTTCAAAGATGAAATAGCCAATATCAAATTGTTCTAATTAATACAGCTTAAAATGGCAGTTATCAAGAACTTGTTGTGTTCTTTGTTACAGGAGATTGTGGTTGTTGTACAGTTTCTGGATCCTGATGGCAATGGCAAGATCACATTTGAGGAATTCTGTGAAGGAATAAGACAAATTTTAAAGATTAAAGGTATGAGTTTATCACATGGCATATAATAATTACAGTAGCACCTGTGGACTGTTATTTTATTTATTTATTTTTGTAAATACCTTGCTTCATATCTGATGCCAACCCCAATCAGTTATTTTAAGCAGTTAGAACAGTATTTCTAAAATGTTTAATTCATGTAAAAACATTTACACGTTTGTCTAATAGTGCATATTAGTTAATTACTATCTTTATTAGATCCCTAGTGATGACAAAACTTACACTAACATACATTGAATGGCTGTCAAAAGTCAAAAATTAAGTAAATGTTAAAACATGTCAAATAATTGGAATATTTTGTCCTATGTATTGATATGATTAATTTGACTTAATTAACTATTTTTGCTAAAAGATTGTTTTTCTCCTCTGCCTGTATTGCATGTGATGTAGACAACAATGATGCAACTGGCTAGAATTGGTTAGTAATGTTATTTGTTGTTCTTCCAGGAGAGTCTGACCTTCCTATAGGTGCTAAACGTCTGAGTGGCAGCTTGAATTATCTCAGTGAAGATACATTAGTTCCTGAGGAAGATAACAACAGCAATGGGGTTGGTACTGTGGAGAGCCTGATGATCGGCTTATTTAGAATCATATTAAACTGAAAAAAAAAATAGAAAGCATTAATCATATCGTGTATCATACAACCAGCACAGCGATTCACTATGTCAATCCTTATGCAATTCTGCTTAGAACAGCAGCTTGAGCAGTTAAATTATAGTTTTTTATAACATCAAAAAGGACTTATAGGCTTGTGTGTGAATCTTTTAGAGAAAATACAGACAGAAGATGAAGTGGTTCTGAATCTGGGGACAGATTTAGATTTGCTTTCTGTTTTATTTGTGAATTATGAGTTGTAAGAAGGAAGTGAAAAAAAATTATGGAAAGCTGCACACTTTTGATTATGCAATCTTACCAAGCATTCATTTCCATCTTTTAGCACAAGAGAAAATGCAATCAGCTCTCTTTTCCAGCTTTTACTATGTTACATGTCTGAAATGAAAGCATGATATTTTTTCCCCAAAAAAAAATATTTTTAAGGGAATTCAGTTCAGTTTGGCTGTATTTTTAAGCAACTGAGCACGCAATAAACATATCACCAGTCTTTGTGGGAATCCAATAATCTAACATTTATGGTTGGTCAGTTTGCTTTAATATGAATCCTGGGGTTCTCTAGCAAGGACTCTAGGCTGATAAAATACACTTCAACCCATTGTTAAAAGACTCATTTCAAACTGGTCTCAGATAAGAGGCATGCACAAATGACATTAATATGATCAGTGACTGGAGCAGCTTTATTGCAATGGCTAATAATATGGAATTCAGTTTGAATGATGGGATTATGGTACATTGCGGTATCATCTGTACATATTAAGTAATAACAGATTAATTGATGTTAGCTGTTAATTAATTCAGTCATTGGGGGGGTAACAGAATTGAACTTAGTAAAAAAAATACTGTAGTAAAAAAAAAAAAATAGGGATTTTGCCATGATAGCATCTTATATTAACTTTGAAGAAAGTGAAACAAATGAAAATAGAGGTTTGAGTTACAAGTTTAAATTGTACTTCATTTAAAAGAATATATTAGGGCATTGGTATCACAGTATTAGCTCGGCTTTTTACACAGGAAGTTTCATTGAGTCTGTGAGCTTACACAAAAAATGATCCATCTTAGTTTGACACTTTCATTAACATTTTAATGGAGGCTTGTTGCTACTTTGGTGTGTTTACATACGCCATGGTGATGTTGCAGATAAGATAAGACCACTTTCACACACAAAAAAAAATGTGAGAAAGAATTGCTTTTCATTTAGTTCGGGTTGTATGTGAAAGAAGATAAGAATATTCAATCTAATTCTAAAGAACCAAGGCTTGATATTACACCTAGTCAAGTGGAAGCAAACTGTTATGCGTCCTAACACTTTGATAAATACAAAATACACAGGCATATGGTATTTTTTTTTATCTCCCATTTTTTGCAAGCTGTCGGATGTTTGAATAGTATACTATATTATACTTTCCCAAGGGAATTTGAAGCATGGCGCTGACATTTAGATAAGCATACAAACTATACTGGAAGAGAAACATGCATCATTATGCTTAAGTAAAAATTGATTAAGGGCAGAGAATGTGTATGGAATGAAATATCATTGGACTGGAGACAAATTGGAAGTTTTGCTGCCTAATTTCTCTTCAGACAAGCTGACAACATACCACAGTGCCATAGAAATTACTGAGTAGCAGCTTAAGGTAGATGACTATCTCTCGATACATGACAGGTGGTTCGTTGTTGCTCGACCTTGGCCTTGTGTCAAGAAGAACAGGTAGTGGAAGCAAAGTTGATTCATCACTTTGTCATTTGTCTTTTGTGCGGCACTATTTTTTTAACGTTCATGGACGGGTTACAAGCAGAATTAAATGAGTCTGATTAGGCTGAATCTGATGTACCAAACTTGTGATCTGGGCCTGGGGAACCTTAACAGGATAAGATAAAGGTAATCATGATGTCTGTAGACATGGACCTGTTTATTTTGAGAATTAGTCTGAGGTACATAAACTTTTCTGCAGTCGCTATAAATGTAGGTCATGACTAGTTGAAATATAACTTTATGCAGTTACGTTTTATCGTCTAGGGCATAAGAATTAGGGGGAGTTGTCTTGACTCCAGCTTTACTTTACTGAGTTTGTGGATTTTGAACTCTTCATATTTTAATGCTCTATGGGTAACAGTAAGTGTTGACATTTACTGGCTTCAAGATGGATTTACTGACAGATGATTATTCCCTTGTGGATGTAGAAAAAGAGGAACAGGTAAATTTTTAGTTATTTTGATGACGTAGTCAAAATGGATTTTAAATCTCTGTTTTTCCCCGACAGTTACATGTTGTCTTCAGTTTAATACAAAAGGATGTTGGATTAGGTCTTTATATACCATGGACATTGGTAATAATAATAATAATAATAATTGGAATATCAACATGAAATACTGACAGTATGAGCTGTTGGACCAAGTTTATTTGCATCTGTTGTATGGGGTGTCCAAAATGCCCTGTATCAGCACTATGTGGCAGATTACTCAATTGTATCCCCTATTGCAGGCACAATGTCCTTACAGCAATATGAAACTATTCATATTCTGTCTCCTAGCGTGACACAGATTGTGCCCTACTAAATACCATTGCCTAAAGTAAAAGTGTCCTGTCTGAGAAGGAAAATGAAGTAACTTTTCCTTAAGGACCTGCATGATGCTTTGTGTACTGTGAAATTGGTTGCAGTATGTCACAAAGTATCAAAAGCATTGTTTGATGGAAGAAGAATTAGACCTAATATAATAGAAAAATTAGATAACTACTAAGCTCAGTAAGCTATTTATTCACCTGCCATGTAAATCATAAATGTATTGATGGTCATCCAGTGTGACCAGGGTCCTGTAATGGTCAGCATAATACCTAATAGCAAATACTCAGTGAGTATATTTACCTATGTCCTATACAATAAGATAAGAAGCAAGTCTTATCTGTTCCTTCTTGTCTGAGAGATCAATAGCAATGTTAAACCCCATATTTGCTTATGGTTTTTGATTAATCCAGGATTTTGGGATGAATTAATATTTGGATTAGCATAATTAAACTATGGTACTCAAAATAGTTGTTAGGAAAGGAAAATGTTACATTGCCATTTCTTTCTGTTATGTTCGTTTGAGCAAATATCAAAGTGAAAATGACACTGTGATGAGAACCGTGATATTCTCTTTACACTCACAAAAGTGAATGTTTGCTGCCTTACTAATCACTTCATTTTGTAAGAGGATATCTTATTACTTGAAATCACTTATGAGTTTGATGAAAATTAGTATACTGTAACAAATTTTTTTGTGTAAAATATGTCATTTTTATGTACAGACACAGATGTGTCTGTACATATTGCCATCACCTGCGTCTGTCGTCGCCGTCGCCGTGCACTTTCAGCGTTAACACCATAAGTGGAAGACAGTTTTACTTTTTGGCTTTATATTTACAGAGCTGACTAATATTCATAAAATGCAGGTCAAGTTCGAAAATCAGCATGATCGGGCCATTATTGTAGAATTTATCCTGTTTTTTCACTTTTTAGCATATATGCAACACTGTTAACACATTTCAAGGAAAACCGATAGGCCTGTTGTCATGAAACTCACAGGAGTTATCAATCTTACTAAAATGCAGATCAAGTTCGAAAATCGGCATGATCGGGCCACTATTTTAGTAGTTATGCTGTTTTTTCACTTTTCAGCATATGTGCAACACTGTTAACACATTTCAAGGAAAACCGATAGACCTGTTGTCATGAAACTCACAG